GTGCAACCTCCCCCCTGCTTGCAGATTCCTGCCCCCGTGGGATCTCCTCCCTGCGTGCAGCCTCTGCCTTGCACACAAGCTCCACCCCACACGCAGCCTCCACCTTGCATGCAAAGTCCTCCCTGCATTCAGCCTCCTCCTTGCACGCAACCTCCCTGCATGCAACCGGGAACGGCTCCGGACGCAGCTTTGCAGCCAGATGGGAAGACGCGCGGGCTCCACGGTCCCCGCAGCACCTACCAGCCGGGCCACCTTGGCTCTGGGCCCCCTGCCCCCGGGCTGCACGGCGGCCTCGCTGCTGGCCACGGTGCGCTTGAGGCACAGGGAGACCTTGCAGGGCTGTGCGCTCTGCAGCAGCCGCGCCGCGTCCTCGGCGCGCACGTTGTCGAAGAAGACGCGCGCGCTGAGCAGCCGGTCGCCTGCGGGGACGGGCACTCAGCGGAGCCCCAAGGGCAAAGACTTTGGGGCCCCTTGGAGCTTGTAAAGATTTGGGGGCTCTGTGGGGCTTGCAAAGGTTTGGGGACACTGTGGAACCTGCAGAAACTCCGGGTCCCTGAGGAGCTTGCAAGGACTTTGGGTTCCCACAGAGCTTGCAAAGACTTTGGGAGCCCATGGAGCTTGCAAGGACTTTTTGGGCTCTGCCAAGACTTTGGGACCCTGTGGAGCTTACAAAGATCTGGGGGCTTCATGGAGCTTGCAGAGATTTGGGGATCTTGTGGAACCTGCAAGAACTTTGGGACCCCACGGAGCTCACCAAGATTTTGGGACTCCACGGAGCTCCCAAGGACTTTGTGTCCCCATGGAGCTTGCAGGGACTTTGGGACCCCATGGACCTCACCAAGATTTTGGGACTCCACGGAGCTCCCAAGGACTTTGTGTCCCCATGGAGCTTGCAGGGACTTTGGGGGCTCCGCAAGGAGCTCGGGGCCCCGCGGCGCTCGCCGAGCCCCGTGTCCCCGAGGTCCCGCTGCGCTCGCACCTTGCCGGAGCCGCAGGCCCTTGGCGGCGCTGGAGTCACGCTGCACGTCGCGCACGTAGATGCCCTCCTTGCCACCGCCGGCCAGGCTGATGCCCGTCACCCCGGCCTCGGGCGCCGTCTCCAGCACCACCTCCACCAGCTGCGCCGCGGGCGCCGCCGGCTCCTGCGGGGTCCCCGTGATGTCCCCACGCGGTGCCGCTGTCCCCACGCGGTGCCGCTGTCCCCATTCCCCCCAGCCTCACCTGGCTCCCGACGGGCTCCATCCCGCTCCCGGCTCCCGGCTCTTTCTGCTCCGCTCAGACTCCGCGGTGGCACCTTCAGCTGCGGCCACTGCAGGGACAGGGACTTGAGGACGGGCTCAGTGGCATCCCTGGACCCCTGTCCCCCTCCCCATTGCAGACCCCTGTCCCCCCATCACCTTCCCCATTGCAGACCCTCTCCCCTGTCCCCCTCCCCATTGCAGATACCCGTCCCCCCATCACCCCCCCCATCACAGCCACCGCTCCCCCCCC